CATGATAGACAGTTCTGTGACATTCATGATTTGACATGTAGGCATAGAGATGTATATTCGTCATGCTAGACGGTATATGGTAATTGATAACTTGACATATATATTGACATATAGGCATAGAGACGTACTTTTCTCATGCTAATTGGTAAACAGAAATTCTTATATGGCGTTGTGAATTGGAAATACGGTTCTATTGATAAACTCATGTTTAGTTTATTTTTAGTTGTAATATTTGGACTTGACTGTTATACCTGGAAAGCATCTCTACTTTTTCATAATTGTGAACGAGTTGAGCATAATATCTTTTGAGCAATTACTTTTACTGCCTCCATTATATTATTATGAGTTAATATTGGCTATTGGTGTTAGACACTAACCTTCTTCCGAGCTCATAGGTTAGGTTTGTTACTTATTGACTACATGGGGCCGGTTGTACTCATACAATACTTCTGCACTTTGTGTGCATATTTTGAAGCTGATGTTGTTGTATAAGTGTCACGACCGAAATCTCTCTCCGTAAGATGTCGTGACGGCACCTAGTCTCTAGGACTAGGTAAGCCTAACAATTTGCAAAATAACGGAAATAAAAGCAGAATTTAACAACTAACTTCAATTCATAACAATAAAACCGATAAAATGCTGCTTGACCTATACAAATAAACCAGCATTCGAGTATAAACAATATTTCCAAAACCTGATAATCATAAGTCACAAGCTCTAAGAATTTGTCTAACTGTTTCTATACATCAGTGACTAGAAGAAATAAAGGAGGGATAACATAAAAGGGATAGAGGGGACTCCGAGCTCTGCGGATGCTGACAGATATACCTTGAAGTCTCTAGAGCAGAAGCAAGTACACAACTAATAGCGAGGCTGGTAGGAGGTACCTAGATCTGCACACAAAACATGTGCAGAAGAGTAGCATGAGTACACCACAACGGTACCCAGTAAGTACCGAGCCTAACCTTGGTAGAGTAGTGACGAAGTCAGGTCCGGTCACTACTGGGATATAACAATAAGACAGAAGATATAACAACATGATGAAAGACTGAGAATTTAACAAAAAAAAAGAATTCACAGAGAATTAACAACACAACACATAGAGGTAAACAACAGGGGCACTCCCGAGATACCGCCTCGTAGTCGCAAAAGTAAATATACAAGGGAATCTCCCGAGGTGCCACCTCGTAGTCCCAAAAGTAAATATACAGGGGGATATCTTGAGGTACCACATCGTAGTTCCAAAAGTAAATACACAACTCAAAATCAGTAGCAACAACAATTAATAGCAAGAAATCCTACAATTTAAGACTAAATACGAGTCAAGGAAAAATAGTAAAATGAACTAAGCATGCTGCACAAATTACAAATAGGCATTTAAGGCACATAGACATGCGATATTAAGCTAACAGGATAACTACACATGCGGGGATAGCTCATTAAAGACAGAACAGGTTACTACTCAATGTAAAATCGGGTTTCGCAACAATTAGCTCGTGTACGCACTCGTTACCTCGCGTACACGGCACTCAAATATCATAGAAGTGTCACAACAGTACCAATTCCTAAGGGGATTCCCCCCACACAAGGTTAGGTAAGCCGCTTACCTCGAGCCAAGCTCAATTAATCAACAAGAACACATTTTCCTCGATTTTCCAACTTCGAATGGCCTAAATCTAGCCAAAAATAATTACATACTATAAATACAACTATAATAAGCTAATCTAATTAATGAAATCAAGACTTTAACAATAATTTCAAAAATCGCCCCAAAAGTCGACTCGGACCCATGTCTCGGAATCGAGTACAAATCACAAAATACGAAATCCATTCAACCACGAGTTCACTCGAACCAAAATTACTCAAATCCGATACCAAAATCTCAATCAAAACCCAAAAGTTTGGTTGAAGAACTTCTTTCACTTTTTTCCAAATTTCTGAACCCAAATCTTAAATTAGAAGATGAAATTAATGATAGATTAATAGGATATAACCAAAAACAAGTGAAGAATCATTACCCAATCGATGCCTCTGAAAATCCTTCAAAATTTGATCCAAATCCGAGCTCTCTATCTCAAGTTTTGATAAAAATGGCAAAACCCTCGTTTTTGAAATATAAACTGCTGTCCATGTAATTCCTTCTTCGCGAATGTGGCCTCACACTCGTGTTCGCTTAGCACAAATAGCTACTAACCAAAAAACTTCTACGTGAACGTGAGGACCTCACGCGAATGCGATGCATGACTGACCCACCTCTTCGCGAACGCGACGCCTACTACGCGAATGTTTAGAACAAATGCCTTGGGGTCCCAGCTGCTCTACTTCCTCTACGCGAACACGAAACTCTTCACGCGTTCGTGATGCACCACTGAACAGACCTTCACGAATGTTGCTCCGACTCCGCAAAAGCGAAGCAACAATCCTCTCCTGCCACAAGCTCCCCTTTCGCGAACGTGGAACTTCCCTCGTGAGCGCGAAGAAGGAAACCAGCAACTTGACACCAGATTTTTCTGCAATTCCATCAAGTCCAAAACTAGTCTGTTAACCACCCGAGGCCCCCGGGACCTCAACCAAATATACCGACAAGTCCCAAAACTTACGAACTTAGTCGAGCCCTCAAATCACATCAAACAACAACAAAAATACGAATCACACTCCAATCCAAACTTAATGAACTTTGAAACTTCAAACTTCTACAACCGATGTCGAACCTATCAAATCACGTCCAATTGATCCTAAATTTTGCACACAAGCCATAATTGACATTATGGACCTATTCCAACTTTCAAAATTGGAATCCAACCCCGATATCAAAAAGTCCACTTCCTGTCAAACTTCCCAAAATTCAACTTTCTCCATTTCAGGTCTAATTCAGCTACAGACCTCCAATTCGCAATTCGGACACGCTCCTAACTTCAAAATAACCTAACGGAGCTAACGGAACCGACGAAACTCTATTCTAGAATCGTCTTCACACAGTTCCAACTACAGTCAAAATCCTAGAACTTAAGCTTCCATTTTAGGGACTAAGTGTCCCAAATAACTCCGAAACCATAAACAAAACCTCCCGGCAAGTCACATAAGCTTAAAAAGATACGGGAAAAGCAGTAAATAGGGGATCAATGCTATTAATCTCAAAATGACAGGCGGGTCGTTACAGTATGGTGGGAACTGCATTGAAGTTGTACCTACGTCCCGATTATAGCTGTCTCTTACTCTCGATATCTTTAGTATTATAAATCTGTTTATATATATTTCGAACAGATGACGTATTTATTTCGTACCAGCTTTGTAAATTCTTAGTCCTAGAAGCTCATGACTTGTACTACCAATCCTTGGGATTTTGAATAGAAAGCTCAGTTATTTTATTTATTGATTCCTGTTATCCTATTTGAGTTGTGTTGTCTATCATTTGGCTTACCTAGTGGCTTGGGTTAGGTTCCATCAAACTAGCTGGATTTTTGGTCGTGGCAGCAGGCCCCTGTTGGCTAACCTTTGATCAGATGATAAGTTATATACCGAGCCTACTGTGGTCGAGAGCTCATGAGAGAGCCCAGAATGGCCGAGATACCGAGCCTAGTATGGCCGAGCGCCTATGAGAGAGCTTACTACAGCCTAGTACTGAGCCTTATAGGGTCGGGCAATGTATTAGTAGGTAAGCATATCTTCATATCATCTTTGACTCCTAGTTACTTTCAGTTATTATATTATCAGTTCAGTTTTAGCTTTCAGTTATTCTATTGCCTTACATACTCGATACATTATTTTGTACTGACGTCCTTTTTGCTGGGGGCAGTGCATTTCATGCCTGCAGGTCCTGATAGACAGCCGGATAGACCTTCCTAGTAGACAGCCGAACATCGCTTGATTGGTAAGCTCCACTCCCCCGGAGTTACCAGGTCTAGACTTTGGAGTCCATTTTATTTATACAGATTTGATGGGTAGGTCTAGGCCATATCCCGACCATGATATAGTTTAGTTATCTCTAGAGGCATGTAGACGAGTCATGTATATTTTGTATATCACTATTGTGGCCTTTCCAGCCCTGTGTGCATGTTCAGTTTGGTATTACTAGTAGTAGACGTTCATGGCAGCTTCGTCGGCCTGCACAGTCATGTATATGAGATTTTGCATATGTCTACCCCTCGGATGAGATAGATGCTAGTTTCAGATGATTCAGAATATGGCATCGTCGGCCTTGATTGGTATTGTCAGCTTGCAAGTAGGTCTCGTCAGCCTAAGTTGAGGGTTACCCCTCCAGAGTTTGCAGTTATAGAGTGGTACGCTCAGGTCGAGTATAGCACCGGGTGCCGACCACGCCTCCCGAGGATTGGGGCGTGACATACCGTAGAGTTTTTTTTGAGTTATCCGACAAGATAGCTATGTTGGATATAGCATGAAGTCCTATCGATTTATCATGACTTGCATGCCATAATTTTGAAATGTATTTTTCCTTTTGTAGCTTTGAAATCTTCAAAAAAAGAAAGCATCATAAGTAAAACTTTGAAATCATGACAATCAGATAGAGTTTGTGCATTATCCTACCGTTTGGCATGACTGCCTATGAAACTACAGCCTCGTGGCAAGCATAACTAGTACTCCATCTATAACACTAGGAAGCAACAAACAAATCCTCAAACGTCAAAGACTAAAAGCCTAATACAGAATATACAAAATTTAAGAACTAGGAATATAGAGAGGTGCAACAGTGAAACTGATCCGCTCAAAGCTTATCCCTTCTAGTCAAAGGCTTCATCATCGTCATGTTGAAGTGGCTGAGTGGCGGCTTGCAAAAGTTCTCGTTCATGCAGTTGGTGTAACCTGAGAGTATATTAGTCCCAATATTTTCATTAAACTTGGACCATATTTGCACAAATGTCAAAAGCAGGCACAAAATCCAAATATCAGCACAAAAGTATACTATTTGTATAAATTAGAGCGGCATATGAATGGAAAAACTGGCTTTCAGCTGCACACATCAAGCAGGCAAACGTGACAGATTAATGCTGAAAAAATTAACTCACTAAAATTGCCTCTAATGGTTCTCCTTTGACATCTTGCTTCAAAATGGCTTCCGAAAGTCCTAGTTTCTGATGATAATATAACAGTTACATAACCAGTAAATATAAAAGAAAAAGGAAAAAGGAGGAAAAAAATGAAACTAATCGCCTCACAGCACATCAAGTATGACTACATTATACTCGGATACAAAAATAGCTCAACTGATGTAAACTTGCTCCATCTCCAGAAGTGGAAAGTCTTCCTATGCATCTTCTGCTTGCTTATATCCAGTATCCCAAGTTAGCGTTAACTTCATACAGCAGCTGTCTCTTCAATTATTCCTTCTTCCTTGGCTTCCTCGCCTAGAGTAAATCGGACAAACCTCCTAACTTTTATGTTCTCTCCAAGGGCGGCAACAGTTTGCTTTACCAAATCCTTCACCAAAACACTGTCATCTTTTATGAAAGGCTGCTCCAAAAGAACAAGCTCTCCAAGCCTCTTCGAGACCCTGCCCTCAACAATCTTCTCCCTTATATTTTCAGGCTTGTTCTTAAGATCTTCTCTCTGCATTTCCAACTCCTTTTCCCTGTTGGCAACGCTTTCTGGAATCTCATCAATTGATACAAACTGCACCTGAGGGCAGGCTGCAACTTGCATTGCCAAATCATCGACCAATTCCTTAAAGGTTTCACTTCTCCCCACAAAGTCGGTTTCACAATTAACTTCTATTAGCACACCAATTCGGGAGTCATGAATGTATGAACCAATCCTCCCCTCGGCAGCAAGTCGGCTGGACTTTTTATCAGCAGTTGAAAGACCCTTTTTTCGGAGGTATTCTTGTGCCTTTTCAAGATCCCCTCCAGTTTCGGAGAGAGCTTTCTTGCAATCCATCATCCCAGCTCCAGTTTCTTCTCGCAGCTGTTTAACCAAAGCGGCTGAAACTGCTGCTTTTGGGTGCCTGCATTAACATCCATTAAACAGAAACTAATCATGAGAGAGAGAAAATATACGGTTTTTGGGGGTTCAAAACAGTTTAGGATAAAATATCAACGTGGAGTGAGATGAGAAAAACAAACTCTGATAATTTATTTCAGATTACCTCTCCCATAATGCTGCTGGAACCAGATTTTATTTGAAATAGATTAAGTAAAATGTGTGCTTAGGTTTAGAAGACTGCATAAGCACTTTTTGAGTCTAAAAAACATAGCATAAGCACTTTTTGAGTCTAAAAACATAGCAGAAAACTGAAATTATCATATAATAATGAAAAGTTGAGTAACAACAATTAGCCAACTGAAAGGGAAATTATAATCTGAGTTGTCAAGAAATCATACACATTTCTGGTTGCTCAGAGTTTGAAGAAACGTAATAAATTGGTAAGAAGTAATTCTCAAGAAATTAGAAACTTACTCAACAGTAGTCTCCTTGGCTTCAACAGCAGGTTGCTCTTTTCCTGGTGAGGCGACAGGTTTAGCTGCTGTTTGAGCAGCCACCTCTGCTGCGAAGTCTTGGCTCTTCTTTTCAAGACCTTCTCCCAGGTTGTATCTCACAAATCTCTTCACTTTGATGTTTTCACCAATCGTTGCAATTGTCTGCTTGACCCAGTCCTTTACCACCAACTTATCATTCTTGATGTAAGGTTGCTCCAGTAAGGCCAGTTCTTCAAGCCTCTTATTTATCCGCCCATCAACAATCTTGGATCTGATCTGCTCAGGTTTTGACAAAAGGTCTTCCTTCTGCATCTCGATTTCTCTTTCCTTGTTGATGATCTCCTCTGGAACATCTTCTGGAACAAGATACTGCACTTGGGGGTATGCAGCCACT